TTAGCCCGAAACCCTAAACCTAAAGCCCTAAACCCTAAACCCTGAGCCCTAAACCCTAAGCCCTAAACCCGAAGCCCTAAACCCTAAACCCAAAGCCCTAAGCCCTAAACCCTCAACCCTAAACCCTCAGCCTTGGCATGCTTGAAGATCGTCAGGGCAAAAGGCCCAATGTCGTTCTCGCTGATGTCCAGCTTCGTTAATTCTTGGTTAACCTCCATCGCCTGGTGTTTTTTTACCATCCGCCGGACTGACTGAAGTCTGTTGTTTTGGGGGGCTTCAGGGTTTTTTTTGGGGGGTTAGGGTTTTGCGTTGAGGTGCAGCGAGGGTTGGTTTCAGGGTGTAGGGAGTACAGTTTCGAAATGGGGTTCAGCAGCTTGTTGTTTGGTTGGGGGGTTCGAAACTGAGCGTGTTCCCCACCAAACCCTAAACCCTAAACCCTAAACCCTAAACCCTAAACCCTAAACCCTTGTACGACCCAAAGGTTCCCCAACCTGCGCCGCTTCAATGAGACTCCGGCACTCTATCCTCTCAGCCCTAACCCTCAAAACCCCAAACCCCGAAACCCTAAATCCCTTTTTTTGAACCCAGGCTCTGTATCATCTGCTTGGGGAAGTCGGCCACAGAACTCTGAACCCCTAAACCTACAACAGCAGCCAGGCTTAATCGCTGGATCGGCAGCAGGACCCGGTGCCACAACGAGTGACATGTGGTTTTCAGTACTGGTCCTTTAAGGGTTAGAATAGGCTTTTGGGGCGTGCTGTACCTTAAACCCTTTTTTGCATCAGGACTTGTGCAATCGCCTGAACACTGACTTCCACAATGCTAAAGAGTTGGTAACACTGTACAATCACAAAGCGCTGTTCCTGCTTGTTCGTCCGTTTTTCTAAACCCTACTTGGAGGGTCGGGGGACTTAGTAAGTGGTAATAAGTAGACTTATAAGTACCTTAAAACGGATCCCTACTGGGGTTATGATACTTATAACTCTATAATTAAAATAACTCCTTACTAAGTCCCCCGACCCTTCAAGTAAAGTACGATCAGGAACCCTATGGACTGGTACTAGGGGTCAAGCACGAGACTCTCAGTCTCCCTGCAGCCGCAACCTGCCTCGACCAATGCCAGGACACCGTCCTTGATATTGTTCTTGCGCAGGCTGAGGCTTTTCAGCGCCTTATTCTCTTCGAGCGCCTCCGCACAGAGGCCGAAAAAGAGATGGGCTCAGTTGCCCCTGTGCTCTGGACGGGAACTTGTGAGGCCAGAGAATGCCTAATACAGCCGTAAACACGGAACCCTACATAGACGGGCGGCAAGCAACTTTGTCCAGATCCTCTCTCAAAGAGCGATTCTCCCTGGACGAAATCCTCACATCCACCACTGTGGAGCTACTATGCCACCGTGCGACCACAGGTGAAGAAACCAAACCTCTACGCGACCGACTGCCCCCCGAATCCAGGGTTTAGGGTTTTGGTTTTGTGTTTCGCACAGGCAGGCACGGCTTCCAGCAAAGCTTCCAGGCAATCATCTTGCTACTGGGATATGCGGATATAGGGCTTAGGGCTTGAAGTTTTGGGGATATAGTTGCTAGATGTTCCGCAGCATGCAGTCTGCTTTGGTTGGTAAGCCATGATTCGACCGTGCACTGCCACCGCAAGTTCCCCAAAAAGGGTTCCCTAAACCCTAAACCAGCCAGCCTTCGCAAGCTCACGCGCACTGTGGTCATCCATGCCACTGTGGTCCAGAGACAATGCCAGAATCTGCGTCTGCATAATGGCCTGCCAGGGGGTGTAGGGTTTAGGGTTTAGGGTTCGGCTTGCGGGGAAAGCACTTCTGCTGTTTGCTGTAGATCAGGGTCGGGCACAAAAACAACCCCGACTGGCTACAACAGCAAGGCGTCAACCTGCAATCCCAACCCTCCTTCTTCAGCACGGGCTTGGATTGCACGCCAGCGAAGTATCTCTCCCCTCCGAAAAACTAGCCCAGAATACCCTCTTTTGAACCCAGACTCTGCCAATCAGCTGGAGCCCATAATAATTACCCTAAACCCTAAACAACCCTTTTGACCCTAACCCCTAAAACCCTAACCCCAATCCCAACCCTGCAAACTCCAAAGTTTCGCCAAGCCCCCCGCATTTCGCAAAGCGCTCCGACATCCATGGGTCCAATCATGAAGCTACCCACTTCCTACGGAATACATATAAGGGGATACTCTTGTATTTTTTCTTCAGGCCCCTTCTCCATAAGATTCCATAAGTCTGCTTCCTCCACACCGAATGCTTGACGCCTGGCAGCTATGAGTAGGATAACTTTTCTTATAACCGCCTGCAGCATCCATACCCGGAACCCCTAACCCCAAAAACCCTAAACCCTAAACCCGAACCCTGAACCCTAACCCCGCTTGAGGCCTGGAGCATGCTTGGGAGCTGCACCGGGAGCTTGCAGTTTGCGATCTCCAGAGTCCTGGGCCGAACCGGGACGACGTTCTTTAGCAAGTTCAAGCAAAAAGGCCCGCCTCTTTCCCTGCCGAGGTACTGAAGACCTGTGTAGTGCTGCAGGGTCTCCATGGCAGTTTCAAGCTCCTTCTCTCCCAGCGCAGAGAGCCTCAGCTCCTTGATGCTCTTCGCCTTTTGCCGGAAGACTTCCAGCTGCAGCTGCTTCACGAACTTGGCGTCCTGGGGATATGAAAACTGGAGGCCACCCTCCTTCACCTGCTGGGCTTTGAAGTAACCAGGGAGAAAAAAGTATAGACTTCTACTTTATAATGGTTCCTTTAAGGAACAGGTCCCCCAAAAAAAAGTATTCAAGTATGGTACTCCAAAGCCCAGCCTGGGCTTCGAAAGCTTCCGGCGCCATCGGGAGCTCGCCTGCCGGGTCGGCCTCTGCGCTGTCCACCTCCCAGGACCGGTTGCTGGCAGTGCGGCTCGCCGACCACTGCGTCTCCTGGGTTGCTGCCAAGGACCCTAAATGAAGTTACTATAACAAGGAAACCCTCGTATTATTCGCTCTATATATATATATATATACACCCCATTATGGTACCTTAAACCCTAAACCCTTAAAGGAACCCTTATAGGACCCTTAAACGAACCCTTATATATACCCAGTCTCCGAGAAGCACCAGCCACGCTTCAGGAAGGGAACTTCATTCAAAGAAAGATCCGACACTGCCTGGGTTTCGGATTTAGGATATTAGGGTTTAGGGCTTAGGATATTAGGGTTTAGGGTTTAGGATATGAGGGTTTACACTCTATGAGGGTTTAGGGTTTTGGATATGAGGGTTTAGGATATTAGGGTTTAGGGTTTAGGGGGTTCTTGTGGAGCTTGATTTTCGGTATCATGCTACGTGCTATGTCTCTTCAATGCCGTAGACTAAAAAAGGCATCTTGCTCAAGAACCCAGCTGCTACTTCCTTCAAACACTTCTCCGGCTCGAAATATACTTTGAGCCGTTTGGCATTCTCGTGTTTCCACTCGGAGGGCGTGAGGCGCGCGATGCGCAGGGTGCGTGTGTGCTCATGCGCATACATCGTGTGTATGCCTTTCACGGCCCTCTGGTAGCTCTGCTCCTCGTCGGAATTTCTGACGAACTGGAACAAGGACATATAGTCCAAGAACACCCAAGGTTTCGGCCTCGTCGTGGGCGACACTCCTTGTCCTTCTGGTGAGGCTTCTCCACCCTCCACTGAACACGCCGCCCTCTTCTCCCTTGAGCGCTCTTGCCAGAATTCCTCACTTGATCGCTCTTGCCAGAATTCCTCCAGAGCGAGGACAATCCTCTGGAGCTGATAACCTCGGTTGCGGTCAAGGAACTTGAACTAAGTTACTGTAACAAGGAAACCCGAATTATCATGTACTATATTATATATATATATATATATATCCGATATATCCCCATGAGGGTAACTTACATTGAGTTCCGTAACAGCAACCCAGTAACCCCAGGGATCAGGATGCTCGCGAGCCTCCCAACAGTGGGAGACTGAAATGATGAGGCTCACCTCGGACTCATCCCGTCTCGCCCACTCCAACACCTCGCATGCTCATGCGGGTTATTGCGACATCAGACCGCATCTGTCTCTCTGCATGGGCACTCATGCCTACTAATTATGGGCATTGGTTTATAGATTTATAGTGGAAGAATGCAGACCCCGTATCTTGCGCTCATGTTTCTTGTAGGCACCCAAGGGAGATCGTCGTTGCCTCGTCGTGCGTGACGAGATCCGCAAGGTGGTAGGACTCTGCCTCCTGCCGCCGTGGCAGCCGCTCTTTATCTTCGTGCAACTTCTGCAGGAATTCCGTGCGGACCTTCGTCTGCGGCGATAAGGGCGCAGAGTTTAGGGTACAGGGTCTATCTGGCATCCAGAAACCTCAAGTGCTGCCTAGAAAACGCTCACTCCTCCAGCCCCGGCAATGCTCATAAGAACAAATCCTATTTCGCAACCCTAAACTAGACCCTGTGTATAACCCCAAAGCCTCAACCCTAAACCAACAAGTCTTCTATTGTAAACACCTTAATGACTAGAATCATTATACTGTAGGGAACCCCGAAATACGGTTGATGATATAATTCCTGCATTACCCATAACCAGGAATATACCATAATTCCCATAGCTTAGGCTCCTTAAGCTCATGCAGGATGTATATCATCAACCGTCCTATCGGTACTTCTTTAGGCCCCTACATAAAACCCTCAACCCCGGGAAAGGCCCTGAACCCTCAACCCTGAACCGGCAAGTCTCCAGCTTAGGGTTCTAGGGTTTAGGGTTTAAGGTTTAGGGTTTAGGGTGTAGGGTTTTAGGGTTTTAGGTTTAGGGTTTAGGGTTTAGGGTTTTAGGTTTAGGGTTTAGGGTTTAGGGTTTAGGGTCCTTTTTGCAGAGATCCCGATCCCCAAACCCCTAGGCCTCAAGCCAGCAAGTTAAAACCCTGTAAGCCCTACAAGCCCCAGACATCCCCAAGAGCCGAAACCTGACCTTAAGGTTTAGGGTTTAGGGTTTAGGGTTTAGGGAGTAAGCTCCGGAAAAGTTGGAAACCGGATTCAGGACAATTAGTGCTGGGATTCCCTATACAATACTCTTAAGGATAGAGGCTATTGGGTTTCCAACTGTTGGGCTTCTACTATAAAACCTAGAAAACCCTATGAAATTCCAGGGCACCATATAGAAAACTGGATCGTAGTTTTGGGGCCCAGAAAAAAAGTATTTACGAGTAGCCTCTTTAGAAACCATGAGGGGAATTTTAAAGTTTCCCACATTGCCACCCAGAAAACGAAAAACCTTCCAAGGGCCACGCCAGTCGAATGTTGGCATCCACCAGAAAGCGAGCCAGGGCTTGTCTGTCGCTCAGGTCGTACTGCGCAGCAGTGGTACTTGGAGGTTCATGGGTAGTTATAAGTAGGGTTATAAGTAGGGTAACTATAACTATAACCCATATTAGGGGACTTATAACCCCGCTTATAACTACCCATGAACCTCCAAGTATGGGGTGTAGGGCTTACTTGGAGGCCCAGGGGACTAAGTAAGTAGGTTATACGTAGAGCTATAAGTTTAACCCTACTTACAACCGACTTACTAAGTCCCCTGGGCCTCCAAGTAGGGCTGGGGGCTTTAGGTTAGAGGGTTTGGGGCTTAGGGTTTGGGGCCTAGGGTTTGGGGTTTCGGGTTTAGGGCACAGCTTAGCCCGGTGTTTTTATCAATGACGACAGGCGAGGATGGCTTTGGGATGCTCAGACTAGCACACCACTTAGTGATTCAACGAATTCTGCTTGAAAGACCTCACGCTTCGCCTGGTATTGAGTGTAGCGTTTAGGGCTTAGGGCTTAAGGTTTGCAGGGTTTGGGCTTTAGGGTTGAACTTTGGGGGTTTAGGGTTTAGTAACATTTAGGGTTTGCGAGCTTTGAGGGTTCAGGGGGCTTTAAGGGGTTACGCCCTCACAACTCGGACTTGCCAGGCGCGTTGGGTTTAAGGTTTAGAGATGAGGGTCAGGGCTTGAGGGGTTGGGTTTGGGGTTTCGACTCTCACACCGGCAAGGCTCCGCATGGTTTGGGGTTTGGGGTTTGGGGTTTAGGGTTTAGGCTCGGGTGTACAGGGTTTTGCTTAGAAGCGGTGCGGTTTAAATAACTCCCATCGGGTCGGTTTTGGACAACATCCTCCACCCTCACGGTAGCAACCTGCACAAATAGCCCTTATGAAAAAGAACCCAAAACGTAAAGGAAAACCTAGCGGCATTCTCAAAGCCCCTAAAACAGATATCGGATACTATAGGGGTCCTAATAGTTAGACTAGGGCTTGGGGTACATTATACTATAACTATACTATATAAGGAACCCCCAACACCCTGTTCCAATTATTAAGGCCCTTCCCAAAACCCTAAACCCTAAACACCCTAAACCCTAAATCCTAAACCCTACCTATTCTAATTATTCAGGCCCCTACATGAGGTGGTCTATCCGTGCTCCTCTGCAGCTGTAGGAACAGCTGGTACAGGTGCTGTCATCTCGGCCTTGTTGTCCGGAGGCAGGTTTAGGGTTTAGGGTTTAGGGTTTAGGGTCACCTGCTGAACTTTTCTAAGGCATGCCGGCGGCGTCTACGGCAGATACATGCCGCTACTCGGCAGTCTGTAACTAGAAACTTCCTATACTCAACTTGGGACCCTAACGAAATTGAAACTTTAGCTGTTTCTTACGGGATTCTGGTGACCAAACACATATGTCTAAGTACCCCTAAGCTTATGCGTCTTCTTGACTTTCGGGGCATTGCTCGATTTTGGTGTGGATGCCTGGCTTGCAGCTGGACGGACAGCTGATAGACTTCCCTGCGTCTTGACGTTCCTCTCTGCGAGCTTCGCCTGCTGGGTTCTCATGACTTTGAGGCTTGGCCAGACATGGGGGAGCCTATGCTATCGCTTCCATAGACTCCAGCCCATGCGTGATTCTGTAGAAAGGCAGATTCTTTGTCGTGCCTGCCCACAGTACATGTGAATCACTGAACGGCAGCTATCGACTCGAAGAGTTGCTACGAGTGGCCGCTTTTGATAAAAGTGAGGTCCCAGCAAGATAAACCACGGAGTAGGGTTTAGGGTTTAGGGTTTAGGGTCACGAAGGCTCGCACATGGGATTCGATTTCGAGACAGATCACTGCCTGAAAACAACTGCTCAAGTCATGCCGGTCTTCACGAAGAGGGTCCAAGCTAAAGGTCTTACAGCCACAGAGGGGCCTTACAGTGGTGAGATGGGGTAGATGATCGTATGCAGCAAATGTTACCTGCAGATTGTTGTCATTACTATCCCTGATGTCATGAAATCATGATCACAACTACGAGCATGCTTGTCATCATTATCTTTATTACCTGTTGGCTCAGACCCCAGAGCAATACATTACACGGACGAGATTGGGGCGGCAGAGACCCGGCGCACTCCCGATCTCAGTAAGCCAATTCTGCAGTGTCACACTAAGAACAAGTACGGCTTTGGCTTTAGGGTTGAGGGGCTCGGGTTTCGGGCCGAGAGTACCGATATCACCTCATTTTTCCATGCTTCTAGTCTAGGGACACCATGCGAGTCCAGGCACTGACCTTTCCTACTAGGGCATCACAGGTGACGGGAATATTGCTGACGATACTGACCCGCCTTCTTGTCGTTGGCGTGGCTTGTCTGGCCATCGGCCACATGCACGTGTCTGGCTTTCTTGATGTCCTCCGGCAAATGATGCCAGCGTGTGCAGAGGAAAGAGGGTGATGCACTTCCATGCCCTATCGAGAAATGGGGGTTTCCGAAAAATAGGGGACCCTAATATAGTACCCTAAATAGTAGGATCCTTATCATAAGGACCCCAAAATAAGGTACGCCTTAATTTCGGAAACTCCCAAATCAACCTGATCAATGCACCCGCGGTGGTCGCAACGGCTTCAGTAGCTGTCGCACCTGTGGAGGATCTGCTGGCGGAGGAAGTGGAGGCTCCTTGGCATGCTAAGGCGAAACGATAGTGGGAACTCCACAAAAAACTTCACATCGTCTGCCTCGGAAGGAGGTGGCGGCGATGCTGCCTCGCACGAAGGGGGCGGCGATGCTGCGGAGCTCTTGGCGCGATATATTGTTGGGCGACATTATGCGCAACCTCCAAAAGCGCAACCCTCCCAGCCCTTTGCCTCGGAGGCAGACGGCCGTAATGCTGTAGCATCCTTGCCAGGCGCACGCACAGCGGGATCAAGCTGAAGGCAAAGGCCCCATAAAGCGGCGCCGGGCACCTCCTCCTTCACCTTCTCCTCCAGGTTGGCTGCCTCCAGGCTGTGTGCCATGGGCGACGGAGTCTATACGGGGTTTGGGGTTTTTGGCCTCCTACTTAGCAAGGGTTTGGGGTTGCAGCACTCACTCTCGGACTTGCCTAGGCGAGGTTCCTGGTACGCGGCGAAAGCACTTATTTTAGGGTTTAGGGTTCAGGAACCCCTAACCCTTTTTGCACAGGCTTGATTGGAGCTCGCCCGGCCAGGTTTCCCGCAGCACAAAACCTGAAACCCTTTTGCATAAAACCTACAACCCTAAACCCTTGAACCCAGACTCTGCTAACCCTAAAGCCTACAGTAAACCCCAAACCCTAAACCCACCCTAAACCTGTGTGTGTGTGTGTGTGGAGCGAAGGAGGGTGAGCAAGGAGGGACCTGCGAAGGCTCAGGGACAGCTTCCTGCGAATCGCCGCAGGGTCGCTTCGCCGGCATTTCCTGCATCAAGGAAGAGGAATCTTAGTTATTCGGTTTAGGGTTTAGGGTTTAGGGGTATTGCACGTAGAATTATCATAACACGAATCACGGGACTAAGAATGGCAGCAATGCTAAGAGTAACAACAACAACTGGGTTGTAATTTTTGGGGCCCTGAAAACGTATTCATGAACAGGTACCTCTACATAGTAATCATAAGGGAAAACTTAAAAGCTTCCCAAATTGACACCTAGACAATAATAGTCACACAGTCTCTCAGAAGTTTCGACACTCACGAAGGCAAGGCTTCAGGCAAAGTCTCCCAGCTTTGCTACCGTAACACGGAAGCTCCTTGGCATGCTAAGACGAAGCGATAGTGGGAACTCCGAAAAAGCTTCACACCGTCTGCCTCGGAAGCAGGTGGCACCTCGCACGAAGGGGGCGGCGATGCTGCGGAGCCCTTGGCGCGATATATTGTTGGGCGACATTATGCGCAACCTCCAAAAGCGCAACCCTCCCAGCCCTTTGCCTCGGAGGCAGACGGCCGTAATGCTGTAGCATCCTTGCCATGCGCACGCACAGCGGGATCAAGCTGAAGGCAAAGGCCCCATAAAGCGGCGCCGGGCACCTCCTCTTTCACATTCTCCTCCAGGTTGGCTTCCTCCAGGCTGTGTGCCATGGGCGAAGGAGTCTATACGGGGTTTGGGGTTTTTGGCCTCCTACTTAGCAAGGGTTTGGGGTTGCAGCACTCACTCTCGGACTTGCCTAGGCGAGGTTCCTGGTACGCGGCGAAAGCACTTATTTTAGGGTTTAGGGTTTAGGAACCCCTAACCCTTTTTGCACAGGCTTGATTGGAGCTCGCCCGGCCAGGTTTCCCGCAGCACAAAACCTGAAACCCTTTTGCATAAAACCTACGACCCTAAACCCTTGAACCCAGACTCTGCTAACCCTAAAGCCTACAGTAAACCCCAAACCCTAAACCCACCCTAAACCTGTGTGTGTGTGTGTGGAGCGAAGGAGGGTGAGCAAGGAGGGACCTGCGAAGGCTCAGGGACAGCTTCCTGCGAATCGCCGCAGGGTCGCTTCGCCGGCATTTCCTGCATCAAGGAAGAGGAATCTTAGTTATTCGGTTTAGGGTTTAGGGTTTAGGGGTATTGCACGTAGAAATATCAGAACACGAATCACGGGACTAAGAATGGTAGCAATGCTAAGAGTAACAATCACAACTGGGTTGTGGTTTTGGAACCCTGAAAAGTGTCCATGAACAGGTACCTCTACATAGCAACCATAAAAGGAAATTGTATACTTTCCCAAAATTGCCACCTAGACAATAATAGTCACACCTCAGCTTTGCTACTGTAACACGGACGGAACTAAGGCTTTAGGGTTTCGGGTTTAGTCGGACACCAGTCACATGCTGCGAGTGTTAATGATATGAGTATGATGCTATCAATATGTAAGAACCAGAGATCAGGTTCAAAAGGGAGTACCCGACCCCCCAGCAGATCCCACCCTGATTCAGGACTTCCAGTGACCTGGGGGTGCTACGCGAGACCGGTAAAACTTGTCGGGTAAAAGCAGGACCCTCATTCCAAGAACCCATTACCTACCTAGATACTGTCCCTATGAAGCCTCAGGTTGCTTAGGGACTATAGGGTTTAGGAGTGGGTTTAGGGTTTAGGGTTCATATCGGGTTTAAAAGGTTCAGGGGATAGTTAGGCTTGGGGTTTCGGGTCCAGGCCGGCTCCTCCAAAGCGCCGCAGTCTACGTGGGGGCGCGCAAACAGTGGCCAAACTGCAACCTACCCGAGTTTAGGGTTTAGGGTTTAGGGTTTAGGGTTTAGGGTTTAGGGTTTAGGGTTTAGGCAACTGAACTGACTCAGAAACTATTTCAAAAGCATTAATTCTTGAAATATCCTTCGCAAGCCACAAAGTTGACTCTCCCAAAACTAGATTTCTGTCTTGGGCCTGCCGATGCCCGGCCACGCTTGCGGTCTCGAGAGCCTGACAAAGCATGACGCTCGAGACATGCTAACACAAAAGGCCTCAAAATTAAATAGGGAGGGTTCCCTGAAAGATGCATATAAGAGTTGCAAAAAGGGGCAGTCGGAGGTTTTCTTATAGGCGCCTTCACGAGATGTGGGCAGTTCCAGCCCATATGCTCCATTCACCGATCGGCGCATTGAATCCGACCCTTCGAGGAATTTCCGAGTCCAATCCAACTTGATTCGTCCGCCACTACCCCTGAAAAGGTGGTCACACAATTCAACTGAAAAGCGGACCCGCATCGACAGCAACCTCTCGCATGTGTAGATCACATCTCGGAAATGGAGAAATACACATACTTGGGGGATCTTGCGGCACAAGAGTTGAGCATGCTGACCATGTTAGCGATGCACGATGTGAAGCCACCATCTGCGGGGGTGGCGCTAAACAAATCGAAACAGAGCTTGCGAAACGCCTATGAGCCAAGAGATGCTCTTCCATCTCTACGGACACGGGAGGCCCACCGACAAATGAAACTGCTCAACATACCCGGGGCAGTCACGACGTCTTCAGTAGCTGTCGCACCTGCGCAGGATCTGATGGCGGCGGTAGTGGAGGTTCCTTGGCATGCTAAGGCGAAGCGACACACTCCGAACAAACCTTCACAGCAGCTGCCTCGGAAGGAGGCGGCGGTGATGCTGCAGACTCCTGAATGTGAGTGTGCTCAAGTTAAGAGCAACGAATCGCACCCTCCAAAACAACCGTGCCAACAGTCTGCCTCGCAAAGAGGCAGCGGGGATGACGGAGGCTCCTCGGCATTCTCACGGTGAAGCAGCAGAACCCCCGAGACTTATCTCCCTTGCATGTGCCTCGGAAACACGTGGCGGTGATGCGGGAGGCTCCTTGGCATGCTCAGCCAAAGCAACGGTACAACCTCGAAACAGCTCACAACGCTCTGCCTCGGGAGGATGTGGACGGGTTGCCGGAGGCTCCTTGGCATGCCCCGGCGAAGCGATGACAAAACCTCCATACAACCTCCCAGCTATCCGCCTCGGACGGAGGTGGTGGTGCTGCCGAAGGCTCCTTGCTATGGTCACGCGCAGTAACAGCACCAATCTCCGAGAAAGCATCAATCTGCCTGTGGAGGAAGCGGTGGTGCCATCGGAGACTCCTCGAGGCGACACAACGGCACCACCTCAGCCTTCCAGCCTCCACTCAAACCTTGCCAACTCAACAGAAACCCTAAACCCCAAACCCTAAACCCCGCACAAAATCAGCCGTCGAAAAACCCTCCTCTCTCTGGCAGGAGTTGGTGGCATCCATGGGCTGGTGGGGCCTTAGCCGAGCAATAACAACATCTCATGAGCTGAAGTGCAGAAAACAACCACCTCCGGTTTTTGTTGCTTAGGGTTGAGGGTGTAGAGCTTACAAGCAGAGCACCTGAAGATAGCAGCGACATCTTGCAGATAAGCTTCCTGGCCTCCTCTACGCGAAAGTAGCATTTCGGGAGCACATTAAGATACATTAAGAATTCCGAGTGTCAGTTCGATCAAACCCCCACGCAGCTAGCTGCAGGTGGGCCACAATGGAGGAATGTCCTGCATCAGGAAATGCAGTCAACGCACACTCCATCGGGTTGGTAATATAGGGCGCCTGAAAAAATTGGAATAGGGTTTGGAGGTACATGGAAACCAGCCTTCGTCTATTATACAGGCTACAACGTCTTAGGAGCCGCGTTTCTGCAAGACCTGCATGCCTGCAATCATGAAAGGCAACGTCCGTGGGCCGTGATGTGCACGTGCTTTGACAGGCTACGGTCTGCTCGCTTTAGGCAGATTCTGGCCTTTGCAGCGGCGTTTTGCTTCAGCTCCTCATTCTCTCGTCTGAGCTTCGAAATCTCAGCAAAGAGGCAAGCCAGAACCTCCTCCTGCAGATTGCTGGATGATATCATGTGCAGGGTTTCAGCACTCACAACTGGGACAAGCCGGTTTAGCGTTTAGGGTTTAGGTAGGGTTAGGGTGGCCAAATTGAAGCTATATGGGCGACTACAGAGGAATCACACTTGAAGCAGCTCTTCCCAAGAATCCTGTCCTTCGGCTCCTGACTCTGATCTCGGGCTTCTGCGACCTCTGCGGTCTTCACTGGCGGACGGTCAGCCTCCTGTCGGATGTCGGTGCTATGCAAGCCGAGGTTCTGGTGCGTTGGGGAAACGGGCAGGATCTGCTGCGGCTACAACAGGGTTTACGCTCTCGCAACTCGGACTGGGCCAGACAGGGTTTAGGGTTTAGGGTGTAGGGTTATATAGCTTACGAAACCACTTCCGTGCAGATGGGGAGGGAGGGTGATGAAGGGTGTGACCAGTGCAGCAGAAATGGAATGAAGGGATAGGGGCGTGCCAGCACAACTGCTGGGTTTTGTAGCACCTGGGAAAAAACGACGTATGAATAATGACAATTCCCAACCTGTCTGACTGCTTACTTACTGCAGACCTTTTTTGACCTTTGGGTTCCGAGACGTAGTAAGCACCAGCAACGACAGTCGGCTCACAGTAACTAGAGAGAGGATGCTGAGATCTGCGGTGTGCTTCCTGTTCCTAGGGATGACTCCGAAGTACCATGGATCATGAGACAACCCTAAACCCTAAACCCTAAGCCCTAAACCCAAAGCCCTAAACCCTAAACCCTAAACCGGTGTTTCCCCCCCTTGTTCGAGCCACAGGGCCGGTGCCACAGGGCTGGCTGTAGGCGCTGGGCAGAGGTCCACGAAGAAGCCCGCTTCCTTGCAGGTTTTCAGGGTTCATAAGCCGCCGGGGTTTAGGGTGTGGGAAGGCAAGCTCATCAGCTGTAAGGGCAAGGGTTTAGGGTTTAGGGTTTAGGGTTTAGGGTTTAGGGTTTAAGGAAGTAGGATTTGGGGTTTCGAGACCTGGGACTGAAGGTCTGTGGACTTGCGATTCGGCCATGCTTTCGAAGCGGCTTCGCGACGTTGCAACATACGTGTAGGGAAGGAAAGGTCTTAAGGCCTTTGGGTTTAGGGTCTTAAGGCCTTTGGGTTTAGGGTCTTAAGGCCTTTGGGTTTAGGGTCTTAAGGCCTTTGGGTTTAGGGTTCAAGGGTCAGGGTCTGGGGTTCAAGGGCTAGGAATGGTGGAGGTGCAACGAGCAGGGATTTTCAGGCACCAACAACGGTCACAGCCTTTCCTAAGGCCCGAAACACTGCCAAGAGTCACGAAGGGCTCGGTCTTCGGCAACACACCCTGGCTTTTGCATGGCGGGCCTGAGCTGGAATGGAAACAGCACGGAAGCACAGTGCAAGAGATCAATCTCGCGGAGTCGGTCGTATATTTGCAACTGACTGAAACGATATACCTCGCGCAGGGGATCTCGAGAGTGCAACGTTACACCGAAGCCTTCGAAGAACCGCTAGCTGCAGATGGGTCGCCGCGACACGTCCTGCTCAGAGAGCACAAGAACAGTTTGGCGACAACCCGGCAGTGCTGGCGGAGTGCCATCTGTTTGCAGTTAGTGACGTCTTCGTATCCAAGCTTTGTGATCTCACAGAATTTCGCCACCGTGAGCGAGTCCCTCTGATCGCACTCATCCCGCCCAGCACCCAAATCGTTCTCAAGCTGCTGTGACTGTGCTTCACATGTTGTGAGATATGTCCGCTGCCAGCAGTACAACACCGTGCGATGACACGTGCAATCAAAGTGGAGCTGTCGTCAGAGCGGGCCGAAGTTTCTGGCTTCTCCTTCTGCCCCTGTACTTGGAGCCCCAGGGGACTTAGTAATTAGGTTATAAGTAGAGCTATAAGTACCCTAACTGGAGTTAACCCAATTATAACCCTACTTATAACCGACTTACTAAGTCCCTGGGCCTCCAAGTTAACCCCAAACCCGGAACCTCGAGCTGGCATTACTGCGCACCCGCTGCTCGGTTCCTTCACAACAGAATCCCGCACACCAGAAAGTTAGCAGAAAAACCCAGACCCGTTATTCAGGAATTTGGCTTAAATCATAATATGAAGCCCCTTATCATTTAAGGCATACTGCTTAATGAAGGGGTATTAAGCTCTCTGGGAAAGGGATGTAGTGCTGAAATATCAGGATGGGGGCCGAAGTCATCAGAAAGAGGCAGCGACCGTCCTCGGAAGATACCCTCCCAGCAATGCCAATTGCCAAGCACCGCGAACCCGGAAGCAAAACCAAGAAAACAAAATCCTCAAGCAAATACCCTGAACCGCCAAACCCGACTGAACCCTAGACCTAAACCCACAACCCTAAACCCTAAACCCCTAAAGCCCCAAACCCTAAACCCTAAACCTGTAAAACCCTGAACCCTAAACCCCTAAACCCCTAAGCCCCTAACAAGCCCCTAAACCCTAAACCTCTAAACCCCTAAACCCCTAAACCCCTAAACCCTAAACCCTAAACCTCTACACCCCTAAACCTCTAGAGAGCTAAAGCCCTAAACCCTAAGCCTCAAAAATCTGGCACCCGCTCTCCTCACAGAGGAGCCCTGGGTCTTCACGAAAGGGCTGAAAAGCAGCCTCGCAGCTCCAAGAGAGCCGAGTTTAGGGTTTAGGGTTTAGGGCTTAGGGTTTAGGGCTGAGGGCTTAGGTTTTAGGGCTTAGGGCTTAAGATTTAGGGCTTAGGGCTTTGGGTTTAGGGTTTGGGGGTTAGGGTTTAGGCTTTAGGGTTTGGGGTTTAGGGTTTAGGGCTTAGGGCTTAGGGTTTAGGGTTTAGGGATTAGGGTTCAGAGCTTAGGGTTTAGGGTGTAGAGTTTAGGGTTTAGGGTTTGGGGCTTAGAGTTTAGGGTTTAGGGTTTAGAGTTTAGAGGGTTTAGGGTTCAGGGTTTAGGGTTTAGGGCTTGGGTTTAGGGTTTAGGGTTTACGGTTTGGGGTTTAGGTTCAGGGTTTAGGGTTTGGGGTTTAGGGTTTAGGGTTTAGGATTTAGGGTTTAGGGTTTAGGGTTTGGGTTTAGAGTTTGGGGTTTGGGGTTTAGGGTCTCTTTGTCGTGTTTGGTGTCTCTTCGAGGTTAATGTCTTCCATTAAAACAAGTCGAGTCAAGAAATTCAAACATCAACTCCCCCGTCAATTAAGAAACTCGATATCCCGAAAACTCAGTAACAGTCGCATCCCTGGTTACTTAAACCCTGTGAGTTTTAGAGTACTACTGTACTCCTCCTACCGATCCGAAGCCCCCCCTTAATCCCGGCCGGGGCTTGAAATCAACCGAAGGGGGGAAGGGGTGGGTGGGTTGTTTACAGGACTTCTTAGGATTTTGCGGGGTTTGGAAGGATTGGTAGGCATATAGGCCTCATTAGAAGGCTAAAGGGCACGGGTTGCCCAAAGCGTACATCTGAAACCTCAAAGCCTGAACCCTGAACCCTTGTGCACAGACTTGTACATGCCCGCCTGGTTCTCAGAAGCTGCTGAACCCTAAACCCTGAACCCCAAACCCTAAACCCCAAACCCTAAACCCTAAACCCCAAACCCCTAAACCCTAAACCCCAAACCCTACCCCCCAAACCCTATACAGGGTTTAGGGTTTAGGGTTTAGGGCCCTATACCCTGAACCAGCAGCCTTCAGGGTGTCATAGGCTTCTCGGAGCACAGCATTGGACTCGCGCAGGCCGGTAACCTCATCCTGTCTAGGGTTTAGGGGTTTAGGGTCGAGAGGACGTAGACTTGCTTAAACTCTACAGACTGAGCGGTTTCGGATTTAGGAGTATTAATGATTCCCACTAAACCCTACACCCTAAACTGACTACCTCTAACTAAGCTCCCCAAAAGACCCTAAACATTTATCAATTCCCTCAATCCTACGTCCACATCCTGCCGACACGGATTCGCACGATGCCACGGTCGCGCATTAAAGCTAATGTAATGAGCATCCCTGCACCCTAACATAAACCCAAACTAGCCGCTCTGTGAAGGTCACATAAACGTGTCACTGTGTATACATATATATATATATATACATATACATATATATATATATATGTATGTACTTATATATTTGTATATATATATATATATACCATGGACGAACAAAGAACCCTCACCCTAAGGAGCATCTCTCGAGCCCTGCTTCTCCTCCAACCCGCGGAGCTCCGTCTCCGGCGATCGCCCAGGGACCTTGTCCTGTTAAGGTCTCACTAGGGTTTAGGGTTTAGATTTAAGGTTTAAGAAGTTTAGCCGGGCTCTACGAGGATAGTTGAATTGAAGCAAGCAGAGAAAGGTTTTTTACTTAGGGTTTTGGGAGGTGAAATCGGCCTGAGCCCACCGTAAGCCCAAGGCAGTTGAACGGTTGCCATCTTGGGCGTAGGGTTGCCGGGATTTCCACTTCTCCTGCAACGGCTGACCTATAGTAAACCCCAAAAAATTGGAAACCGAATTAAGGACAACTAGTGCTGGAATTCCTTACACATTACTCTTAAGCATTGAGGCTATCGGGTTTCCACCTTTTGGGCTTGTACTGTACTGCAGGGGCCTTAACAGGTAGAATGGAGTCTTGGGGTATCTTATATTTTGATTGTAGTATGGAACCCCCAGAACCCTATTCTAAATATTGAGGCTCCTATATTACATCTTCCCTAAACCCTAAACACCCTCTCTCTCTCTCTCTCTCGCGGACCCTAAACCCTAAATCCTAAACCCTATAAACCTTATGAACCCTAAACCCCAAACCGAAGCCCTGGCCTTCTCTTCCAGAAGCTCGCTTTTGGTAGCAGTCGCAGCTCGTAGGCCAGCGATCATCTGGAAGGATTCCTAGCAGCGCTCCACAAAGGCTGTTTTAAGAGTTCTATAAGGATTCCTGGGGGCTCCAGAAGGAATCCTCAAAGGGCTCCATGAAGGACGGTTTGGGGTTTAGGGACCCAAATATTCTGTTGTGGATGCTCACTCTTGGCAAGGCGTCGGCTGGCGACCTCCTCCTACTGCAGAAGCTTGCAGCGTGCGCATGGTGCAGAAAAGAACTGATACGGATGCACACCTTGCATGTCAATAAGCCGTGCCAGGAATACAGACATGATGTCAGGCATCTCTTTCCAACAACCCTGTCCTCCAGCTTGTGATACCTGTCGCTCACCTGCCGGAGCTCGGCCTGTGCCGAGCGTAGAGCCGCGACCTCGTCCTGCGTCAAGATCGCTAGGCATGTTCACGAAACCTGCGGACAGCGAAAACACGACGTGAGACCAAGTACCCATGTATTGCTTCTCCTCCAGCTTTCGATACCTATCATCTGCTTCGCTAAGCTCGGTCTTTGCCGCCTCCTCCTGAAAGGGCATACAGCAGGTGCAGAGTCGACATGGATCTGGGTGCACATGGTCGTCGAAGCGACATCGTACCAAGAAATGTCGTGCAACAGACGCCTCCTCCGACTTGTGATGCTCGGTCGTTTCGCCGAGATTGGCCTTCGCTGTGCACAGGCATGTGACCTGCTCCTGCAACAACGACATGAGACGTGGGAGATGTGGCACGTGCGTGAGGGGCAAGCACAAGCTACAGCCAGCTGGATCGGGACCGACCCCAGCATCCCTTCCGCCATTCACGGAACGCACTGTAACGGCAACGACGGGAATCTGGCACTCTTTCCACTCCTCCAGCCCGCCCTGCTCGGTCTTCACTGATCGTGCGCATGCGCCCTCGTCCTGCAGAGGGAGGTGCAAGCTGATTGGCTTCTCTTCCCACACTGGGCTACCTTGATTCAAGTACCCCGGATAGGGATCCTACTACTTAGGGAGTTGATATATCTGCTTGCTTTAATGTATATAGACATAAATGCGCACGTACTGCATGCAGGCATGTATGCATGTGTGGATGTTGGGATGTACGGATGTTCGGATGTATGTATGTACGTAATGTATGCAGGCATGTATGCATGCGCGGATGTATGGATGCATGCATGTCTGTATGTGTGATTCTCAAAAAGACGTATGATTATGTATGCATCATGTGCACGGGTAACTGTACACGTGTATATATATATATATATGTGTGTATGTATACATATATATATATATATGTGTGTGTGTGTGTGTGCATGTGGGGTGTACATATGTATGTATGTATGTATGTATGTATGTATGCATGCATGCATGCATGCATGCATGCAATGTATGTCTGTCTGTCTGTCTGTCTGTCCGTCCGTCGGTCTGCCTGTCTGTCTGCAGGTATGTATTCATGTATGTATGTATGTATGTATGTATGTATGTATGTATGTATGTACATACATACAAGTGTGTATGTATGTACGTATACTATGTGTGCTGGTATTCTTTCATGTTTCCATATTGTCTGCATGGTGGACGCCCCAATGCGCCGCTCTTCGAGCTGGAAAGATTTTGGGGGGTGTAGCTGACTGTGGTGCCTTTATCTTCTCCGACGGTTTCTGCGATTTTGCTACTTCTTCCCCGAAAACCAAACCTTGAACATCCTGAACCATGGCGGCAGTGGATAGGATGATCGGACCAGGTCCAAAATCTAGGCAAATGCATGCCTTTGCCGGAGCAGCGTCCACCGGCTCCCACGAAACCAACCAAAACGGTGCATGAGCATTCACACCCATTGCTTGGGATCCCCCAACTTACGGCATCAATATTATGTTCCTTCATTCCCTAAACCCTAAACGCTAAACCCCAAACCCTAAACCCTAAACCCTAAACCCCAAACCCTAAACCCTAAACCCTAAACCTCTTAGAATATCATGTGCCAGTGGGAGATCTCGGCATCAACATTATGTTCTTCATTCTCCTAGAATATCATGTGCCCTAAACCCTAAACCCTAAACCCCTGTGGGAGATCTTCTGAATACTGGGATTACCAGGGCTGCCCGGTCCTTCATCATGATCCTGACCTGTACCGTATTCGCCGGAAGTGGGCATGCGACCTCCTCCTGCATGACACAACATGAGGCGGGAACCTTTAGGGTTTAGGGTTTAGGGTTTAGGGTTTAGGGTTTAGGGTTTAGGGTTTAGAAACTTAGAAACCCAAAATCTGGCAGCTGCAACCCTCTCCAGCAAGCAGCCGGTGCTGGGATGCATGATATCAAGCATCTATGGGGTTCTCCTCCAGCTCAGGACGACTCTCGCTCACTTCGCTGGCCTCGATCTTCGCGGCACCTGCGCCTGCCCTGTCCACCTGCAGCACGAAGGACAGACAGGAGGTGCCAAAACCACACAAGAGCCGCATAGTAAAGACACATTCTATCAAGAAATCTCTTGCAACGATCGCCTCCACCGACTTGTGATGCTCGGTCGATTCGCCGAGATTGGCTTTCACTGTGCACAGCGATGCGATCTCCTCCTGAAGCAAGGACATGTGGGTAGTTCTCTACATTAGGGTCCCCGTATAGGTCCCCACAATAGTGCCTGATAAAAAGGACCCAAAAAGGGACCCTAATTTAGAGAACTACTCATGTGACAAGGGAGATGTGGCACGCGCATGCAGGGGCAAGAGGGGGCTACAGCAAGTTGGAACGAGAGTTACAGTAGCAACCCTTCTGTCATTCACTGTGTTGCCGAATTGAGGCGACACTATGGCACTCTGACTCTCGCACCTTAAACCCTTAACCCTAAAAACCCTAACCCTAAAGCCTAAACCCTAAACCCTAAACCCTAAAACCCTAAAACCCTAAACCCTAAAGCCTAAACCCTAAAAACCCTAAAACCCTAAACCCGAAAACCTAAAAACCCCAAACCCTAAAACCCTAAAAACGGCTTCTCCTCGAGTCCGGTAAGTTCGGTCTGCACTGATCGCGTGCGTGAGCTCTCGTCCTGCAGAAGATGCACAAGAACTGCATTAGGGTTTAGGGTTTGGGGTTTAGGGTTTAGGGTCTCCTGCACTAGGGTTTAGGTTTCAGGGTTTAGAGAAATGCATTAGATCCATAAGACCGAATGAAGCCTTTATGATAGAAGAGGGTTTACCAAAACAGCTGCTATAACGAGCAATAGTCATTTTTTTCGAGGGCCTAGGCCTAGTAGAAAAGAACTTACAAAGAGGGTGTATTATGCCAAGCGTGAAAAGCCAGAACGTAAGGGCCTTAGCTGATAGAATAGGGTTCAAGGCGCCAAGCAACAGTACTGGCATTTATTCTGGAAGCTACTTGGCTTCCCTTATTGCGTTCGGACATGCAGCGTGTCCAAGTGGTGACGTGGTGCTCGAATAGAGAAAACATGTAAACATGTGTGCATAAGCAAGTGGTTGCGGCCCCCCAGCCCCTAAACCCTAAACCCTAAACCCTAAACCCTTAGCAAATAAAAGCCCGCCACACCTCTCACCATCCAGACTAGCGAAAAACCCTAACCTTCGTGCAGTTCCCGCGCTCTTCTCCAAACTATCCTTCGGAACGGTCGAAGTGCAAGCTGTTGGATCTGGCACTAGTCGTACCATGTCCTTGGTAGGGGGTTTGCAACTAACTTCGCCACCCCCTAGCTCTACTTGAACTCCATCTTCTGCAAGCAATACTCACTTGACTACTCCAGTCTCTAGCCGACTGGTACCACTTCGCATGCAGCATTGCATCAATGGGCGACGCAGCCGTTCCAATCCAAAACGAATCAGATAACTAGCTGCTTTCGATGCACAGCCTATCAGGCCACATGCTGTGTTCTCTGAGTTTCCGAAGCCTTCTTTAGCGGAGTCTTCGATTTGGTACTGTCTACCCTTTTTTGCACAGGCTTGCGTGAATCTCGCCTGTACTGTCTACCCTAAACCCTAAACCCTTTTGCTGCAGGCTTGCAAGCAAGAACGCCTAAACCCTGACCCCTTTTACACCTGGACTACGCATATGCCAGGAACCAAGGCGCCGACCCTGACCCCTAAACCCTGAACCCTAAACCCTAAACCCATGGTGGTTCGAGCAACCCTTGCCCTAACTCGGATCGCCCCTGTAAATGCAAGACCCATGTAAAACCCTGCATGCACCTAGAAAAGAAACCAAGCTGGTTTGCCAGTATGGATAGCTATAGGGGGTTGTATTAGGGCTTGCAGTTTAAGGGTCATGGTCGGTCTAGGGTTTAGAGAAGTTTTTGTTTCGGGTCGACTTTTCAGTGTCTATATCAGGTCTGCGATGTGCAGCAGAGTTTCTTCATGGTCGGCATTGCAGGATCCGGGCAAAGAGGCCTCTCTCAGTGAACAATGAGGGACCCAAGTCAGCGTCACTGACAAGGACGCAGCTGCTAAATTTACCAGATCCAGTGCGTGGTGCAATGCGTTGTCCCGAAAGTCTTGGCACGACTTCGCTTGTGGGGATCTCGTACAATTTGAACCCTTCTTCAGGGCTCTAGGGATCTCTAGGGTTTCGGGTTTTAGGTTCAGAGTTTAGGGTTCGGCCGTGGCATCTCAGAAAAGATGGTCAGGCGTTGTGGCGACGTCTTTGTTGGAGACGGTAACACGCGACCAACAGCATCAGAGAACAGGACGATAAAATTGGGCCTGGCATGGCTGCCAGAATACACGTTGAAGAGCGGTGATTCTCGCGCCAACTGAAACAAAGTAAACCCTAAGCCCTAAACCCTAAACCCAAACCCTAAGCCCTAAACCCTAAGCCCTAAACCCTAAACCCTAAGCCCTAAACCCGTATCTTCTCTTGGCAAAGGCCTGGCGGGATGATGACGGATGCTTGCCACAAGTCTCCCCATTGATGACTACTGTATAGTTCGAGTTGAGTGCTCGTAAAACCACCGCATCTTGCAATTCGATGATAGCTAAGTACGTCCTAATTGGAAAAAGACAGGAATTTCTCAACCAAAACGCCACACGAATTCGGAAGTAGGATGTTGAATCACGAGCACCCTCAGAAAACACCTGAAATATACACTCACCAATACTCCTTAAGTCCCAACTGGAAGTATCTATGCACACTCAAGAAGACACTCACGGAAGCCCCACTCCACATGGGTAGTTGTCTAAATTAGGATCCCTTTTGGGGTCCTTTTTATAAGGGTGCCGTACTTTTTTGGGGGACCTAAACAGGGACCCTAACTTAGAGAACTACCCACATGTCTCCGCGCCAAGAACTGACGGATTGCAGTTTCTGGCCTCCTCGCTACCGGCTCTCGTCGACCCGGCAGCCTTGCAACCACGGTTTAGGGTTTAGGGTTTAGGGTTTAGGGTTTAGGGTTTAGGGTTTAGGGTTGAGGGTTCAAGGTTTAGGGTTCAAGGTTCAGGGCTTAGGGCTTAGGGTTTAGGGTGCAGCGACAATACCAACAGTGACAGCAACAGGGCAGTAGCAGCAAAAGTGGCAGCAACAAGTATGAGCAATAAGAAGCATCAGAATAAGAGTCATGCCCATCATAAAAGATGATGCTCATGGAGATGAGGATAAGTGTCTCTGACGATTGTCCATTGTCCGATGCCGAAAGGCCCTAGAACCTAAACCCCTAAACCTCATCATGTCCAAGTTGCTTTTCGGATTTCCCTGCCATCTTCATATAGGGGGCCTCAATAATTAGAATAGGGGTTTTGGGGGACCCGATATTACGGCCACCCTAAACCCTGAACCCTAAGCCCTAAGCCCTAAACCCTAAGCCCTAAACCCTAAACCTCCTCCCTGCACAGGGGTATCAGGCATGCGGCGCTGAATTCGCACTTCAAGGCTCTACTTCACAGCCGAGTCTGAGGTCCAAGTGCTCGGACGATAGTGTTCAGGGTTTAGGGTTTAGGGCTTAGGGTTTAGGGTTTAGGGTTTAGGGGACATGACAAAACGAACTCTTTTGTACTCCCTTTTCAAGCATAGTTTAGGGTCCTTAAGCTCTGAAAAGCTCTCGCTCAGAACCCATCCAAAACAGCTGCATTGCCTGCAATCGCCGCGCTTTCTCCCGGTCTTCCGTCGGCCTCTCTTCTTCAACAACCAGGCCCAAAAAAGTTCAAACTTTTCAGTATAGACCTAATATATATATATATATATATAGCCAAAAAGCTTATAAAGCTCTCCCATTGGCCATCTAAGGGTAGTTCTCTAACTTAAAAAGGACCCTGTTCTAAAGAACTACCCATATTCCCTTCTAAGCGGCATGAGCATCTTCACCACTGCAGGTGGCTCCTTTCCCCAGAGGGCGTAGTTCAGCGCCGAACGTCCGCAAGCATCGGCCTGCTGCTTGGCTTCTTGTTCAGGGTTTAGGGTTTAGGGTTTAGGGTTTGGGGTTTAGGGTTTTTTAGGGTTTGGGGTTTAGGGTTCAGGGTTTAGGGTTTAGGGTTTTGAGACTAAATCTGAGTTGCCCATGGTTTAGTTTCCGTTACCCTAACCAAGACAACATACGGTTTGATGTATGTATGCATGTATGCATGCATGCGTATGTGTGTGTGTATGTGTGCAAAATGCAAACATCATCTGGTTTGCGTGCTTCATGTAACTTTCTTATTTTGCATATTGTTTAAACCTGCTGATTTTGTAGGTTTCATGAACTAAATTCATATCATCCAATTGCTTGGTACACATGAAAATTGCGAAGTATAGAGAGAGAGAGAGAGAAAGAAAGAGAGAGAGAGAGAGGGAGAGAGAGAGAGAGAAAGACGGACAGACAAACAAACAGACAGCCACCCAGCCAGCCAGGCAGGCACACAGACAGACAGAGCAGCCTGCACTCTGAAGTCGCATTTGGAACCCAAGCCGGGAGCTCATACCGCCACTGTATACTTGTACACAAATTCAAACACGGGAAGCTCTTACAGAAGGAGTTTCTTCTCCCCGCGTTGCTTTTGTTGAGGCTGGTAGGGGTGCTTAAGACTGGGTCCTACTGTGGGGTCTTATATCGGCGTCGCTTGTCTGAAAATCCATGGCAGTGTGTATAGATCCATGTGCATACACCTACCAAAATACCTGCCTGCCTGCATACATACATACATACATACATACATACATAAATACATACATACAAGCTCAATCCACGACTTGAAAAGGAGTCGGTTCTCAGAGCACGATGCCAAGCGAATTGTCAATGCTGAAACTTTCTGACAACCGCTCCCAACAAGTAACCCTTCAGCCCCAACCCAACCCTAACACCAGAAACCCTAACCCGTTAATGTAGGGGCCTAAAAATTGTGAATAGGGTTTGGGGGCCCATTATACTATAACTATAATAAGGGAACCACAAAACAGTAGAGGTAATTCTTCAAGCCCCTAAAGTACCCTGAAGGTTCCCGCGCGGCCTGGACAGGGCTGCATTTCACGTCCAGCAGTTTCGCAAGAACCTCCACTTTGGAGCATCCGGGTCCGAGTCTGTATCAAGCCATAGTGCATAACTTTGTGTATTCTACTGCATTATATCATGCACAACTATACGATCGTATATTTTTCTTTCAAGTTAGATCATGTCATACCGTATATCATCATAGCACACCATATAATATCGTACCATACCATATCAGATCACATCACATATAACAGAGCGTATGCTATACCATATACCATACACCGTGTACCATAACACATCCTATCATATTTCGATATGTGACAGTATACTTTTACATGACATTATATGGTATGATATGAAACTGTAACAACAAGTTATAACGACAAGTTATTACATCGTCGCTCAGGGCGGACGGCTAAGGCTTCGCCGGTGGCGTTTACAACTGCTTATGCTCTTGAGCCTTGATTCTCACGTCGTCGCAGGTGCTGCCCAGAGCGTAGTAGAGCGGATTTCGACCATCTGCATCCTGACACCAGAGACAGCTTGACTTGAAGAGTCGTCCTCAACCCGCTTCCACAGAATGCGGCCCTGATCCGCAACGTGTGACACACCGCCTTCTGCATTCATGCAGGAGCAGCCTGTTCTTGCTGATTAGTAATGTTAATCCCTTGCAGTCCCGAGTATAAATATACCCGGATATGCCCCAAAACCCTGTCGAAATTACGAAGGGCCACTATACCATTCTCGGCCTTCTGGGTGGCAAACTCCCGACTGCTTCGCAGTAGCTTGAGAGCGAACTTCGGAGTGCAACAACATGCCTCAGGTCCCCACGGTCTAGGGTTTAGGGTTTAGGGTTTAGGGTTTTGTTGCAGCCTGCTTCTGGTGGGGGGCTTGTGCACGCAACCAATGACGTTCAAAACTGCAGGCGCCACCTGCTTCGATGCCGAGTTGCGAAGTGAAACGCACTCCTTGGCTAAGAGAAGCCCCAAAACCCGTTTTCAGCACGGACTCCTAAACCCTACACCCTAAACCCCTGAAACCCTCAACCCTAAAACCCTCAACCCCTAAAGCCCTAAACCCTAAACCCTGAACCCCTGAAACCCTAGACCAAGCCACCAGGTAGCGGAACAGGCGAGGGATTCGGTCAGGGTTTCGGGTTTACGCTCTCACAACTCGGAGAAGCCACGGGAGGTTCAAGAGGGTTTCGGGTTTTGGGGGCTTAGGGTTTAGGCTTTCGGGTTTTGGGGGCTTAGTGTTTAGGGTTTGGGGTTTAGGGTTTAGGGGCTTTGGGGCTTTGGGGCTTTGGATTGTAAGGCTTCGATGGGGTCCTCTTGCGTCCGGGCAGCCTGCCCTTTTGGTTCACCTGCTCCGGATGTGCACCTCTTCTGAGAAGGCAGCGCGCCACAGAGGAGTGGCCGTGAAGGCAGGCCAAAGCCAGGGCCGTGTCACCTGCACCTTTTAGGGTTTAGGGTTTAGGGTTTAAGGTTTCGGGTTTAGGGTTTAGGGTAGACCTGCACCTGGCGCGACGGCTCCACGCGACCGGCGCTCCCGTGGTATATACAGGAGCCCCAACAAAGGAAAGGCCATAAGGAATAGGAATAGGATCCTAGAAACCAGGATCCCTCAATAAGAACCCCTATTGACCCCCTCAGCCACCGTGGTGCAAGAAGGGCATGTAAACGAAGAGCAGAAGGGAAGGTCACGATCGAAAACATGACGAAACGGGTGACACGATGGAAAAAAGCAAACCCGGAGGAAAACGAAGAAGGTTTGGGGTTCCTGTAGGGTTTGAGGGTTTCGGGTTTAGGGTTTAAGGGCATGAAAGCGCACGGTCGCCTTCTTGGGCGTGGATGTCGGCCCTGCATTCGAGGAGCAGCTCACACACCTCGCAGGCAGCAAGGCTAATCACGACATCCCCAGCAACTTCAGGACAAAGCCAAAAAAAACAAAGACGCTAAAACCCTGAACCCTATAAACCCAAAGAGCCTAAAACCCTAGAACCAAAACCCCTAGGCCCCAAGCCCTCTGAACAAATGCCTCCGCGTAGCCATGCATGGCCGCAAGGTGAAGAGCAGTTCGGCTGCTGTCGTCTCTGGTGTGGACCTTTGCCAGCATGAAGCCGCGATCGGCACGGCGAAGGATCCTCCTCACTTGGCTGCTGTCACCTGGCAGCGTTCATGGTGTAGAGCTTTTTGGGGCTTATGGCTTTAGGGCTTAGGGCTTGGAGATTTTTGGGGCTTAGGGCTTTAGGGCTTAGGGCTTTAGGGCTTAGGGCTTTAGGGTTTATATAGGGCTGTGGGCTTTAGGAGCCAGGCTTCGGCACTTACACTCGGACACTCCCGGCGAAGCACGCTCGTGACGGTCTGGTTGGAGGAATTACCAGCAAGCTTGCCACGGCCCCAGAACCCCCAAACCCAGGGTGTCTCGAAACAGATACAGTGCCAGATGCCCAGCTAGTTGCAAGCTCAGTTTGGGACACAAGGATTTGGGAGTTAGGGGTTAGGGTTTAGGTTTAGGGTTTAGGAGTTTGGGGCTGAGGATCTAACATGTTGAGGGCTTAGCTAACGGGCCTTAATAACCAGAAAAGGGTCTTCGGGCATATTGCAATATAGTTCTCGTAAAGAGCCACAGCTATAATACCACCAATTGTCTCTAAACCCTCCTAAGCCCTGAACCTTTAATCCTAAACCGTAGGTCCTTGACTCTAGAGCCTTTGCCCTAGCCTAAGCCCTAAACCCTAAACCCTAAACCCTAAACCCTAAACCCTAAACCCTAAACCCTAAACCCTAAACCGGAACTTAGGTATACATAGGGTGGAGGATCCTGGAGGGCTTTGGTAGCGCCTGACTGGTTCAAACCATGACAGCAGAGGTTTAGGGTTTAGGGTTTAGGGTTTAGGGTTTAGGGTTTAGGGTTTAGGGTTTAGGGTTTAGGGTTTAGGGTTTAGGGTTTAGGGTAGCGTTTAGGGCAGTGTAGTGTTAGGGGTTATATAGGGTTTGGGGTTTAGAGTTTAGGGTTTAGGGTTTAGGGTTTAGTGTAGGGTTAGACCTCCGAGGAAAGGCTCTCCAACATCTGTGGCAAGCCCATGCTTCTTTTTCAATGACTCTGTGCACGAAAGCATTGTAAGCAGCAGGGTTTTACCGGATTACCTTTCACCCCGGCACTCAACCCGGCACAGTCAAGTGCAACTGCAGCGGGCCGGGCGCAACATGCAAAGGTTGCCCGAGAATTCTGCATGCACTTGCACTTACTCGGGCAGTTTCCTAGGGGAAGTAAAGCCTAACCTTTGCCGTCTAAAGGCTATGGAGCATAGAGCTACATTCACAACTTGTTCAGGGCATTCGCAAGTGCAAGCTGGCAAAGATCGAAGAGTGGTGCCCGTTGCTTCTTTTTTTTGAGCACCAGGCTTCACAATCAAGCTATATACTATAGGGGCCTTAATAATGACAAACAGTATTTTGGGGGCTCCTTATTATAACTAATAATCTAATACTATAGAGGAGCCCGTAACCCTATTCTATTTGGTTCCGCGTACTTCATGCTGCACTCATCCCCCTGGTGCATCTCACCTTGTCGGTTCCATAAGTGGGGTAACTATACTTATAACCCATGTGAGGGGACTTACAACCACACTTACAACTACCCATGAACCTCCAAGAATCGAGCATCACAGAGGCGAAGGTGCATCACCATGAAAAGTCACGTCGGAAAGCACTTCATTCCCAGAATCACGCTACGCCTGAGCTGCACCAAAACTCATAAGAGTTTTCCGTCCATGTCTTTACGGATGCCTCAGCATAACCAATCGTCGAGATCTTGAGTCAGAAGACGGCAGCTCAGGAACAAAAGTCGCCAGGGGCATGCACTACCTGTGCGTCACCAACTGTGCTCAGATCAAAAACTCTACACCCTAAACCATGTCTGTACTTGGAGGAGCTGTGGCCCGTGGCCATTGCCACTGTCTCCAAGCGAGCTGTCCATCCCAGAAGTCGCTCAAGTTCAAGTGTAGCTGGCATACAACTTCTTCTTATCCTTACTAGAATCACTACGAATTACTATTAGAAGTACATTAGGAATATCATTACTATTATTGTAGTAGTAGTAGTAGTCGTAGTCGTAGTCGTATTAGTAGTAGTAGTAGTAGTAGTAGTAGTAGTAGTAGTAGTGATAGGAGTAGGAGTAGGAGTAGGAGTAGTAGTAGTAGTAGTAGTAGTAGTAGCAGTAGTAGTAGTAGTAGTAGTAGTAGTAGTATAATAGCAGTAGCAGCAGTAGTAGTAGTAGTAGTAGTAGTAGAGTGGCAATGGTAATGGTACTCAGCTTGATTCCAAACCCGACGGTTGCAAGTAAATCGCACGTACCTCACTCCTCCAAGCACCATGCTCACAACTTCTGATACCATGCTCGAAGCTCTTGCCTTAGCTGATTTCGGGCTTTTGGGTTTGATGGAGTAGGTTATATATATATATATATATATATGTATGTATATATATATATATTGCAAAATTCCCAAACCCCAGCTCCAAAGGCCGCAAGTCCTGAACCGCACACACCTGGTCACCTACCCCCTACCCCCTTAAACACCTACCCCCTAACCCCCAAACCCTAAACCCTAAACCCTGACCTTAGCGACTCGGGAACTCGGCGCCTTGAAAACGGCAAGACTGCTGCACAGAGACTCCAAAGCCTTCTTGAAAGAATATACCTTAAACTACAGGTATCATTTGGTTTAAGGTATAGTCCACGACCAAGGGGGTCTTGATTAGGGTATGTCTTAGGACGGTGTAGGGTTTTCCGTCGCTCGTGCACATGTGCAGGCTTGCCCAATGAGGTCTAGGCTTGCGATAGCCATCACTCGGCTTTCTCGCCATCCAAACCCCTAAAGCCCCAAACCCAAAACCCTAATCCC